TTTCTTATTTTTCAAAAATGGACAATCTTTCTTCATATACCCTGATTTGTTACACTTCAAACAAAGTAAGTTATTTAAATTTAAATTCTTTGATTTAAACTTACCTCATTTTATGAATTTTCTAAATTTGCGTGCAAACATACTCATTTCTTCATCATCATCCAAATCTTCTTTACTCGAAGTAGTATTAAATGCAAGGACTTTTTTGATCTTTGTTTCATTCTTATTCTTTCTATCTTCAATTTAGACTTCATAGGCCATGAGATTTCCAATGAGATTTTCTACCGTAAGCGTTGACAAGTCATTTGTTTCTTCTATTATGGTAACTTTCTTCACCCATTGTGGAGTAAGAGAACGAATAATCTTTCGCACCATTTCCACTTAAGTGAATTCTTTTCCAAGACCGATGAGAGAATTTGTGATATCAGTAAATCTTGTAAACATCTCTCCAATGTGTTAGGACTCATGTATATGAGCCTATCTTCGAATCTTGTTTTGATGATTTTGCAAATAATTTATAATATATTTTTTAGTATTTGTTTTGTTTTAGGTTGAGTAATTCAAGAGCCACATCTATTACGGAGCTTATTCAACTCAAGTCAGATCCAAAATTTAGCTTCCCATGCATATCATCTTGGTATAACTAGCATAGGGCTTTATATTGTTTGAATATATCTCAAGCTCAATATCCACATAGCACACACATTTGGTTTTAATGTGATTTTGACAATATACTGAGATATTAGTGTATAAACTTAAATTTTACTTTATACAACTATTGTTTAGTCTATAAATTCATTTGAAAAGGTTTCATATCCTTGTTTATCTCAATTGTCCAAAACTAAGAATATTATACACTCGTTTTACATGTTTTGCAAAACTAAGAGATTTTACAAACGAAGAATCACATTTGGAAAATTTCTTTTAAAACATGCTCATTTATATATTTATAAACTATTTCCCAATTTTTACAATTTTTATAATTTATTTGATATGTTTAAACATGGTTTAAAGTTTTATTTTCCTGTGCATTTCTGGTCGGTGCACGTCTAGTCGACTCATGAGTCGACTCACGAAGTACAGCGGAGTTATGTTTTTTTGTCTGTTGGGTCGACTCATATAAGCTGACTCATTAGTCGACTTATAAGCCGACTCATAAGTCGACTCATAAGTCGACTTATTAGAGAGCCGTTGCATAGTAACGGCTAGTTTTCTGTTTTGTGTGTTTGTGGCATTTTGGCTTTTTCTTTGGGTTTTTGCTGATATATTGAGATGCTATATATACCCATATGCTCTGAACTCTTCTACATTGAAGAACATTCCTAAATCAAGTTTTGAAAGAGTTTAGTTTGTGTTTAAGAGGTGTTTAAGCATTGTTTCAAGTTTGGTTTGAAAAAGAGTTTGTTTTATAAAGAGAAGCTTACATCATTTATTGAGGAGTTCATCTTTAATATCCAATCATCCTCTCTTTGTAGAGAAGTTTTCCTAACTCAACTTTCTGGCATTTATTTCTTATTAATCTTATTGCTAGTTCTTATTGAGTTAGATTTTTATTTAAACTCATTTATCACGCACCCTTATTAATCTCATATAATATATTGTTTGGTAGTGGTGTGTGATTTAGTGAGAGTGAACTTTATTGAGTTCTCGTCAATTGTAGATAACAACCATTATTATATGCGTGCTTATCGTGAGATCACTTGTAAATACACTTGTACACCTAGAGGAGTGTGTGGTGAGGACGGAGTCGATACCGAGAGGAGTGGCGTCGGTAGCCTAGAGAGAGGTGATAATTCCGAGTACTTGAGGGAGTCAATACGTGAGGACCAACACTTGAGGTTGTAGCTTGTGTATGTACATTGTGAGATTTTGTGAGAGTTTTCGGTTGACTTGATAACCGAGTGTGTAGAAATGTTTCGGCTTCCAAACCGGGTATGTCGTGATAGTGGAGATCTCATCGAGGTGAGGTGCGGAGACGTAGGTCGTGGGGACTGAACTCCGTGATCATATCTTGTGTTTGAGTCTGCCTTGTGTACATTTATTTTGTGCTTGTATTTTACATTCTTGCTCATATATCACTTATATATCTCATGCAGGAATTAATTATTCTATAAAGTTTTTAATTGGCATAAAATTGAATTAGATTAGCATAAGACCCTAATCACCCCCCCTTCTAGGGTCTAACACAATGGTCTCGTTTTCCTTTATTCTGAATAATTCGAATCTGTGTACAAGAATAAAAATTTTAGATTCTTCAACCTTACTTGTATCTTCATGAGTTACCTCAAGTGTGTGCCAAATATCATATACGGATGTGGCCTTTGACACCCTGTTGAACTCATTCTTGTCAAGAGCACAAAATAAGGCATTCATTGCTTTAGAATCCAAATTTGCATTGTTCCTTTGAGATGTAGTCCATTCCGTGAAAGGAGTAGTTGGCTTCTCGTATTTTGTTTTCATAACGTTCCAAAGTTTGTAGCTAATTAATTAGAGATAAATCCTCATCCGACACTTCCAATAGTTGTAGTTTAGTCCATCGAACATCGGTGGACGATTTGTAGAGTGTTCTTCCTTGAATTTTGAGTTTGAGTTAGAATTAAACGCTATTTCTTTAACCTTTCTCTGATACCAAATGTCGGATCTGATCCAATCATACTAAAACACTAGAGGGGGGTGAATAGTGTTTTATTAAAAATTAATGCAAAGAAGATTATAATTTGCAATGAAATAGCACAATCACAGAAAATAACAATCACAAACACAGAATTTTATACTGGTTCCATCTTCCAGGTGTACATCCAGTCCCCAAGCAAATCCCGCTTGAGAGTTCCACTATGATTTTGAAAAACTAACAAAATCATCATGTTGGCATAAAATTGAATTAGATTAGCATAAGACCCTAATCACCCCCCCCCACTCTAGGGTCTAACAATTGGTATCAGAGCTTGGTGCTCTTTGATTTAAGGACTAATCGCCTTGAGTTAAAGATCCAAGTTATTTATCTTGCTAATCTTGTTTTGATCTTATTTGCTTTCTTGCTTCATATATCATGGACATGTTTAATGCACCCAGTCTCGGTTATGCTACAAATATTGCTCCTAGATTAGATAGTTTTCCCTATGCACAATGGTGTATTAGATTTAAGCTATTTGCTAGATCTAATGATATTGATATTTGGGAAATTATCGATTGTGCTTATAGAGTTCCCACTACGGAGAAATGATGACAAAAGATTATTTTCTTTAAACAAGTCTTTGTTAGAATTCTTAATCAATGCCTTTGGCTTATCATTTGTTAACATTCTTGATTCTTTTGATAGCGCTTACGAGCTTTGGAATTTAATAGAAACACATCAAGGTGATTTGGAGCCAATCCACCAAGATTTGGAAAATCCCACCTCAAAATCTAAAGGAGTTCCACTAGGAGATGATCCTAGTGAGGTACGTGAACTCGAAAATGATGATGATATTTCTTTTGATGAGCTTGCATATGAATTTGAAAAATTATTGCATGACAACAAGAAATTGAAACATAGTTTTAAGGAATTAAAAAGCAAGCATGTTCAATTGAAGTCAACTCATGAGTCCCTTGTATCTAAGTTTGATTTCATTGCAAATAAAAATGTTAATTTCAAAGAATGCAATGAAAGATTAAGAAGTGATGTTGCTAAGTTAACTCATGAGAAAACAATGCCATACTAGAAGTAAAGAACATTAGAAATGAGTTTAGTAATCATGTATGCTCCAATGTCAATGCCCATGTGACTAACAATGATGAGTTGAATATTGTTAAAAATCGTATTTCATCTTTAGATTCAACTCTTAAAACATGTATTGTTAATAATAAGAAACTTATGGACTTGTGTGCAAAGTACAATGATAATTCTTCTAAGAAACCTATTCACTATGCACGCATGTATGATAAAATCTACAAATACTCTATTTGCGGTCGTAAAGGCCACTTAGCTAAAACTTGTCAAAATGCACAAAAGATGAACAAGCCTATACATGATTATGCACACCATCAAGCTTCTCCATCTCATTCACATGTTCACACACATAATGATAATCATAAACATGCCCATGTGTATAAGTGTAATTTTTGTGGTCGTTTGGGTCATTTGACCAAGTTTTGTTTTGACTTAAAAAGGATTTCTCATTTGCAAAATAAATTTCAAGATAAACCTATTTTTGCCAATGAGACACGTGCTCAACAATTTAGTCAACGCAAACCATTCCAAACTCTACATTGCACAAATTGCAATCGTATGAGCCATGCATATAATTTTTGCTTTGACCATATCTGTGCACAAAACACACCCAAATGGGTTCATAACCCTGGGGCCTTGGATTTAAAAGGTGGGAGTCATGTTCCAAATTCATTCGACACCAAAAATACTTGGGTGCCTTTACAAAATTAATTTGAGTTTCTTTCATGATTTTTTTTGTGTTTTGTTTTGTCTTATAATATATGCTTTAAACTGTTTTCTTGTGAAAAAACTATACACATAAATATTGTTTAAGAAAACTTTTAAATAGTTTTTAAGATGTGGTTGACATGTGATTTTATAAGTATAATTAAGTATGAAAACTTTTAAAAAGTACAAACAAATTACAAATTAAAAATTGTTTTTCAGGCTATTAGTCGATTTATTGGTCGACTACTGAGTCGACTTATAGGTCGACTTACGGCTACTGTTTTTCGGGTCGGAGTTGTTTTCTTATTGGATTCACTTGGCTTTGGACCCGTTTGACCTAGATACCTTTTGGAGACCACATCCCAGCCATCCATGTGTTTTGATCAAATCCTAACCCTTCCTTCACCCTTAGAAGAACCGATTCTTTTCTCTTTTCCTCTTCATTTTCTTCGTTTCTTCCCCTAAGTTGCCTTTTCCCTCTGCTCAGTCCGTCGATCTTCCATCTTTGAGCTCTGCCGTGAATTTGTCTCCTCTTGGTCCTTTATTGTCTAGGTATGCCACTCTCTCTCACACCTTGCTTTACCTTCTAGAACTCTCATCTAGGGTTTCTTTAGAAATTTCTAGAGTTTGTATTTCTCTCCTGAAATCTGAGTTCACTTTGTTTGCATTTGCCCTCATCATGGCTGATATTGTGCCTAAGCGTCATAGGACTGGAAGGGATCAACCTTCATCTTCCAATGTTCCTCCTCCTTCCTCCTCTAATCTTGAGTATTATGAAAAATATCTTGAACATGAGGATTTAATCCAATGTTCCTCCTCCTTCCTCCTCTAATCTTGAGTATTATGAAAAATATCTTGAACATGAGGATTTAATCCCTAAATATCGTGAACTGTGCCTCTAATCTTGAGTATTATGAAAAATATCTTGAACATGAGGATTTAATCCCTAAATATCGTGAACTGTGCAATCTTAAGCCTTTTCCTGGTATATATGTTAAATTTGATGACTTTATTCATTTTGGACTGGAAACAATTTTTGGAGATGCAAGTATGGTTGATTTCCTTAGCACTAAGAGTGACTTTCCATATTATCCTCACTTAGTGCATCTTTTCTATGCAAATCTCTGCATTGAGTCCCTTCATTCTAGAACTCGTATTATTGTCTTTAAAGTAAAAGATACTCGCATCAAATTCTCTGTAGACAAATTATGTAATATCCTTTGTTTGCCTCGTGGAGACAAACTGTTGATGGACATCACCTATGATAATCCTGCCGTTGAGGCCCTTCTAGTTCTTCCTGATAAATGTCTCCCCTTGTCTGGTAAAAATGCTTCTAATCTAGCTAAACTTGTTGGTCGGATCGTATGTTATAACATCATTCCTAAGACATGGGAATACAGTCATTACTCTCATGATCTTACTCGTGCCATTTATGCTATAATAGGGAACGTTAATGTTCATTGGGGAAAGTTCTTTTGATATCTTGGCATCCGATCCCTCTACCTTTATCCCTTTTGGTGCTCTTCTCACCAAAGCATTCCTCCATTTCAGGATTGATTTGACTGATGAGATCCACCTTCCAGTTTGTCCTCTTTTTGATAGATCAATCCTTCGTAGGATGGAGTTACCTATCACTTTCCATGAGCTTCATAATCCTTCAGCTCGTGCTCATTCTCCTAATTATCATGATTCTGATAGAGAGATTCCTCCTCCCGGGCATAGTCCTAGAGCTGAAAATTACCCCTCTCATACCCCTAGTTATTTTGAGGATCTCTTTGCTCAGATGGCATAGTCCTAGAGCTGAAAATTACCCCTCTCATACCCCTAGTTATTTTGAGGATCTCTTTGCTCAGATGGAGTCTTATCATGCAGTTATTTTGAGGATCTCTTTGCTCAGATGGAGTCTTATCATGCTGAGGCTGAGTTTTGGCACCATCAGAATCAAGTGAGATTTGATATGTTAGAGGAGTCTCATAGAGATCTCAAGACAAGACTTGATGTGTTAGATGATTCTCATACGAATCTTAGGATGAGATTTACTGAGATTGAGTCCTCTCAGTCAGAGATTAGGGAGTCTCAGGAGGCTATTAGGAGGGAGCTTGGTAGGATTAGGACTCATCAGCATACTGATATAGAGATCCTTACTGGCAGATTTGATGATCTTTTCAGGGTTGTTCAGCATCTATATCCTCCACCGGGTCCAGGGCCATCTGCTCCATGAGGACTGTTATCCTTTGGCCTGTGATGTGTTCTTTTGGTTTATGTTTTGTTGAATGATGCTTTATTTTATGATATAGTAAAACTCTATGTCTTGTTAGGATGTTGTTTTTCTTAAACTATGTGGTATGACTTTCTTGGCTTGCAAATGTAGTGTGTTTCAGTGATAAATGATGTCTTTTCTTAAACTGATGTATATTGCATATGTAGTGTGTTTGATGTTTACATTTGCTCTCTTATACCTCATGATTTTTTTTTTATTTTTGTTGTAGCAAATGCATGCCTATATAGGATGTTTATATTACCCTCATAATCTTATCTTTTATATATCCTTGTGGCTTTTAAATAGGGGGAGCAATCCCTATTTCTTTTTACTCACTCGTGCTTATAGGTAAGGGGAGTTTTTACTCTCATTTTATCTCTTATCCCCTTTTTGATGGTGACAAAGGGGGAGAATATGTGAGTAATATGTGAGTAATATGTAAGTATACAGTTTGCTTTGTATCTTCATTTAATATTGAACTGTATTTATAGATCAAATTAGAAAATTGTTTGTCATCATCAAAAAGGGGGAGATTGTTAGGACTCGTGTATATGATCCTACTTTCGAATCTTGTTTTGATGATTTTGCAAACAATTTATAATATGTTTTTTCAGTATTTGTTTTGTTCCAGGTTGAGTAATTCAAGAGCCACATCTATTACAAAGCTTATTCAACTCAAGTCAGATCCAAGATTTAGCTTCTCATGCATATCATCTTGGTACAACTAGCATAGGGCTTTATATTGTGTGAATATATCTCAAGCTCAATTTCCACATGACACACACATTTGGTTTTAATGTGATTTTGACAATATACTGATATATTAGTGTACAGACTTAAAATTTACTTTATACAACTATTGTTTAGTCTATAAATTCATTTGAAAAGGTTTCATATCCTTGTTTATCTTAATTGTCCAAAACTAAGAATATTATACACTCGTTTTACATGTTTTTGCAAAACTAAGAGATTTTACCAACGGAAAATCACATTTGAAAAATTTCTTTTGAAACATGCTCATTTATATGTTTATAAACTATTTCCCAAATTTTATAATTTTTGAAATTTATTTGATATTTTTAAACATGGTTTAAAGTTCTGTTTTCCTGTGCATTTCTAGTCTGTGCACGTCTAGTCGACTCATAAGTCGACTCACGAAGTGTAGCGGAGTTGTGTTTTTTTGTCTGCTGGGTCGACTCATATAAGCCGACTCATATAAGCCGACTCATTAGTCGACTTATAAGCCGACTCATTAGTCGACTTATAAGCCGACTCATGAGTCGACTCATAAGTCGACTTATCAGAGAGCCGTTGCACAGCAACGGCTAGTTTTCTGTTTTGTGTGTTTGTGGCTTTTTGGTGTTTTTCTTTGGGTTTTAGCTGATGTATTGAGATGCTATATATACCCATATGCTCTGAACTCTTCTACATTGAAGAAGATTCCTTAATCAAGTTTTGAAAGAGTTTACTTTGTGTGTAAGAGGTGTTTAAGCCTTGTTTCAAGTTTGGTTTGAAAAAGAGTTTTTTTTACAAAGAGAAGCTTACATCATTTGTTGAGGAGTTCATCTTCAATATCCAATCATCCTCTCTTTGTAGAGAAGTTTTCCTAACTCAACTTTCTAGCATTTATTTCTTATTAATCTTATTGCTAGTTCTTATTGAGTTAGATTTTTATTTAAACTCATTTTTAATCTTATTGCTAGTTCTTATTGAGTTAGATTTTTATTTAAACTCATTTATCACGCACCCTTATTGAGCTTGTTATATCTCATATAATATATTGTTGGGTGTGGTGTGTGATTTAGTGAGAGTGAACTTTATTGAGTTCTCGTTAATTGTAGAGAACAACCATTATTATATGTGTGCTTATCATGAGATCACTTGTAATATACTTGTACACGAGAGGAGTGTGTGGTGAGGATGGAGTCGATACCAAGAGGAGTGGCATCGGTAGCCTAGTGAGAGGTGATAATTCCGAGCACTTGAGGGAGTCGATACGTGAGGACCAACACTTGAGGTTGTAGCTTGTGTATGTACATTGTGAGATTTTGTGAGAGTTATCGGTTTACTTGATAATCGAGTGTGTAGAGAAGTTCCGGCTTCCAAACTGGGTGTGTCGTGATAGTGGAGATCTCCTCGAGGTGAGGAGCGGAGACGTAGGTCGTGGGGACCGAACTCCGTGATCATATCTTGTGTTTGAGTCTACCTTGTGTACATTTATTTTGTGCTTGTATTTTACATTCTTGCTCATATATCACTTATATATCTCTTGCAAGAATTAATTATTCTATAAAGTTTTTAATTGGCATAAAATTAAATTAGATTAGCATAAGACCCTAATCACCCCCCTCTAGGGTCTAACACAATGGTCTCATTTTCCTTCATTCTGAATAATTCGAATCTGTGTACAAGAACAGAAATTTTAGATTCTTTAACCTTACTTGTATCTTCATGAGTTACCTCGAGTGTTCGCCAAATATCATATGCGGATGTGGCCGTTGATACCCTGTTGAACTCATTCTTGTCAAGAGCACAAAACAAGGCATTCATTGCTTTAGAATCCAAATTTGCATTGTTCCTTTGAGATGTAGTCCATTCCGTGAAAGGAGTAGTTGGCTTCTCGTATTTTGTTTTCACAACGTTCCAAAGTTTGTAGCTAATTAATTAGAGATAAATCCTCATCCGACACTTCCAATAGTTATAGTTTAGTCCATCGAACATTGGTGGACGATTTGTAAAGTGTTCTTCCTTGAATTTTGAGTTTGAGCCAGAATTAAACGCCATTTCTTTAACCTTTCTCTGATACCAAATGTCGGATCTGATCCAATCATACTAAAACACTAGAGGGGGTGAATAGTGTTCTATTAAAAATTAATGCAAAGAAGATTATAATTTGCTATGAAGTAGCACAATCACAGAAAATAACAATCACAAACACAGAATTTTATACTGGTTCCATCTTCCAGGTGTACATCCAGTCTCTAAGCAAATCCCGCTTGAGAGTTCTATTATGATTTTAAAAAACTAACAAAATCAAACCATCAAACCTGACCAATTTACAAGTCCCTACAAATTGCATCCAATCTCTTCACTAAGAGATTACACCTCTCACACTTGAGAGAACACATGTATTGATACAACTTAATTTCTATAAGCCTTGATAGTATTGTGATGTGTAGTAGTGGCTAGGAATGTTTTAAATCTCTAAAAATTGACTATCTTGAATGTATATTGAATGAGGAACAAAGGCAAAATCAGAAAATTATTTTTCTCAACACTTAGTGAATTTCTAAAAATTTTTCTTTTGAAATATGCACAAAACTTGAATCTTATGTATAGGAATTCGCGACCCAAAATTCTGAACATATAACCTATTTATAGCCTTGAAAAGATAGGTTTTCAAACCCTCAAAATGTACACA